ATCAATTGACAGAATCTGAGTGAAATTGCTAGCAACTGGCGGTATCTGGGAGAATCTTTCCAATCACCAGATTTGAACGCACATGGGGTCTTCCATGTAACCATCCATTTAATGATTCGTCATATCGACTGCCATGTATTCGTATTTAGTTTTTATTTACCTGTTTTGTTTTTTGTACCATACTCAGATTCACTATACATCAGAGTCCATTTATTTTGTCTGTGTTTTGTTACAAATCATTTACTTAGTCATAACTTTATTATATTCAGTTATTTATTTATCTATGTCATGGTTTTGTTTTGTTTTCGTATTTTGTGTTAAAATACTTAATTAATGTGTTTTATTGTATTATTTGGTTGTTACACTGTGTTGTACAACTAGACGTAACGTGGATCTTTAGTATGCACCAGAACTAACCAACAAGCTATTTGGAACAAAGTCGGAACTAACCAACAAGCTATTTGGAACAAAGTCGGAACTAACCAACCAACAAATCAACTAATTGGGTTTTTGGACCGAAGCGAAGCCAGTAATATATATCTGTGTATTGGGAGTGCAAATATAGTTGTTATTGTTATAAATAGGCTCTAAAAACACTCTTTGTAAACCTGTAAAAGGAGCCATGTTCAAACGTTTTTATTTTGTCTTAAAGGAATTTTTAAGGGGTTATTTAAACTTTTTATGTGTATCGGGGACACTGATAACATTAATTTTCATCATTTTAATTTTCATTCCGAAGTCTGTGGCTTTTGTAATTCCACCAAAAGTAAGCGTTTTATCGAAAAAGCTGATATTGATATAAGGACATTTGAGATAGTGGCGTCATAAAACGCGTAGGTTTTGTGGAATTGCAGGAACCACAGACGTCTGATTGAAAATTAGAATGATGAAATTTGATGATATCAGTGTACCCTGATACACATACAATTTTGAAAACCTCTTTACAATCTCTTTAAATGTTCCACTTTATGTCAAGAAAATATAATTAATACTTAACATAATTAATATCTGACTAAAATATAGCTTGATTTAAGTTTCGTTTTTGTGGGCTATTTCACTTGGCCTAGATCGAACGACATTTCGTTCATTATTTTAACCAATCAAATGCGCTGTTTAGGAAATTAAAATCTTATAGTGCTTATAGTCTATACTATTAAAATGAAGGCTTTGAGCTTCCGGAAACTTATTACCAAACATGCTTTATGGTCCTTCAAACAGTAGGTTTACTGCCGTGTGATAGAAACTTATTACCAAACATGCTTTATGGTCCTTCAAACAGTAGGTTTACTGCCGTGTGATAGAAACTTATTCGCCACTTGTGAAGAATTCTAGTGTTATTCATTGTCCAACCCTGATATACACTGTAATCCCGATTCAAGACCAAGAATGAAAAGATAACTCAATCAACCCACAGAAACGAATATTCTATAGAGTTATTTTAATCAAATTGAACGTCAATTATTACAAAGTTATCTGATATAGGCTACGAGGACTCGCATAATTGAATTCAGTTAAACGCCTTATTTTTGAAAATTTAACTTAATATTAATGTGTTCCAGTAATCTGATTGGCCAATCAATAAAAATCAATTTTTAATACACTTTTATTATCCAATCAGATAACTGCATATAAAGTTAACTTTTGTAGAATTAGGTCCAAGATGTTTAATAATAATTCTTGAATTGTTGTGAATATTATGAATTGTAATTAATATATGATTTTTGAAGAGTTATTTCATTAAGTGACACGCTGTTGAAGATGAGGGTTGTCTAAAAGCCTGCAGATGTCATGCTGAGCTCATAGGCTATTTATATCTAATAATATGATGAAGTAAAGTTGAAGTAAAAGTAAAGTAAAAGTCTATGATCTATGATAGTAAATTGTCCACCACCTTGATCTTGACCATTATTTTAACATTATTCTATATGTTTCTAGGGTTGTTATACAAAATCTCAAGAATTTATCAAAAATAATTTTTACACGTTGGGAGCTGCTGGTATCGGTCTTGGAGTTTTACAGGTTAGTAAAATGTTCGCTGGTTTTGAAATTTTTGTTATCAAATCTAAGGCCTTTATAATTTCAAAGTTGTAGGCCCTAACATTGATAATTTGCTATATGTGTGAACCGTTGATATATATTTTGAAAGTAAGGTTTTGATGTCGAATTGGTTTTATATTTAAACATTCCAAACTTTTGTTTGTTGGAAGTTAGTTCCCACCAGAGTTCTAATCCATCAATGGCATGGTAGCCGTTAGCTTAGGACGCATTATAGTATATTTTTACGTTGAAAATAACTTTTATTTGGCAATTATTATTGCGTCTACTTGTTGCGTCTACTTGTTGCGTCTACTTGTTGCGTCTATATGCACCATGTCTGTCGAACGATGATAATTAATTTCTATCCTTTTTTCATTCTATTACAGATATTTTTAATGGCGATAGCTTTAGCGATGGTATGTTGTATCAGAAAGAGGGCTGTATATACAGCTTAGAGTAAAAACTACAACAATATAAATCATTTACAAGACTGTCTTCAATATCGGCCCGTTCATTATCGATATTACATTTAGGATACATAGACAAATAGACAAATAAATAATATTATAAAACAGACAGGAGGGACATAGTGAGCTTGATAATTCGTCACAAGTTGTGATTCCCTGTGACTCAAAACGTCTCAATATACGCACCCCTTCCCAATGGACAAATTTCAGCCCCTCTCCATCCCCTGAGACCTTGGGCTGCGAGCCTGCTGTACTAAGCTTGTCACGTATTCTCGAAACGATCAAGCGCTAAGATGTCCTAGAATCAATACTAGACAATAAGAACCTAGGACATCCTAGCGCTTAGATCGTTTCGAGAATACGTAGCCAGTTCGTATCAGTTTTATTAAGTACATACATTACAAGATCTATCACTCGTGTCTATCTGAATTTTAACGACGGTCACTGAGCGACACCGGGATTCACATGATCTCTTTTTTTCATGTCCAACTTTATGTCTACCAGAACATGATCTGTCTTTGATATTTTTTTATTTTTATCTTTAAGTATGTCAGAAAAAAACCTTTGATATTTCAGAATTTTTCAAATATAAATACTATTTTAAAACAATATATTATATTTCTGTAATTTTCTCCTGTATATAATATAGTTTAAAACATTTATTATCATTTATAATGTTATTTTTGTAATAAAATATTTGTTAATGAAAATGTTGTGTTTTGTTCTATCATTGCTTTACCGTGTATTATAGTTTACATATCAAGGATATATTTCAGTGTTTCCTCGACACTTGGACAGGAGATAAGTTGGTGAGTTATTTCTACATCGCACTTTCTTTTGTATATTACACAGGAGCGTATCTAAAAATGCCGCAGGCCGGAGTACTTTGGGCTGCCAAGAAGCCAAGGGATTCCAGATGGCTTAAGATAAATTTTTAAAGGGCGAAAAAAGTAATTTTGCTAACCATATACAATGAGATCTCTCTAAATGCCGGTTTCTAGAGAAACTGAATGGGAAATTACTAAATGTACATTCACCATAATAACCTTTTAACCGATCAAACTCAACCATTCTCTCACAAAATCCCAGCGCTTGGGAGGCAGAAATTTGATTGGTTAAAGCAGGGGTCATCCTTAGGTCATTATGACTAATGTTCAAGAGGTCCGTCTTAAGATCCAAACTGAAGTGGCTATATCACAAAATACGGAAGAAGAGTTCAGTCTATCATTAATTAGACTGACTAAATGACAGCCAAGGAAGTTAAAAGTAAATAGAGGCCAATAAAAGACACGGGGTAAGTAAATATAGAGCTTTATCTATTGCTACATTTTTAACATGAATTCATAACCTGTTTCTAAACTTAGATTTTCAATGTTATTTGCATAGAATTTATTTACCAGTTAAGATGCAATATTTCCAAAACTAAAACTTTATAATAATGATAGGGAGTTACTTCCCTTTTACTAGATGTAGGTAAGGGAGGTAATACATATAATATTCAGATAATACAGAGTTCATGATAACTAACAGTGATCCAATGAGGACTCCCAACAATAACAGTTAAAGTATCTTTTTTTAAACAGAGTTACTTCCCTTGTACTCACTTTCATAGAGTTATTAATAGCCTTTTAATATTACCTCTATGTTCACTTCTGTATATTATCACTACAATTATAAAAAGTTACTTCCCTTATACTAGGACCTGTAATGGGAGGTAACTCCAATTCATCGACAGAGGACAGGATTTGGTTAAAACTAAAACATCACATGCCAAAATACAAAACCAATATTTTGTGATTGTAATTGACGGCTTTAGTATGATGTGGAATTCAATTTTATTAACGTACACCATAACGTTTACCAGTGTGTATTGTTGCAATAATAAAAGTGGCCATGAGTACTACACCTCACAACTTAGTTGCACGAGAGTTGCGTTCAAAACTTATGACTGCTTTTCTTATTGACAACCGTACATAACTGATGATCGCTATGGTGGGTATCTTTACAAGATATTGCTAAGTGTAAGCTAAAGATATAATTGCGTAAGTTTCTGTCTTTATAATTACAAATAAATTAAAGCAATGGAGAAAATAAAAAAGTTAGCAAAGACTAAATATAAACAAAATGGCAAGATTTCTATCAAAAAATAAGATTTCGGAATAAATGATGAAAAAAGGAAAATAAATAAAAGATGATATATAAATTTGGAAATGTTGAGAAAATGGTTTCTTTAGGAATAATGGTAGAATTAATAATTTAAAACATTCAAAGCAACAATCACATTACTATTCAATTAGAATCGTCGTTATTATCCAGCTTTCAACTGTTATATATTAATACCGTACTACATAGTTACAGTCCTCACTGATTATATCTGGCCTAGGTTCGAATCCCTTCAGATCACGAATGAGTCTTTATCTTACGTATCACTTATTGTCAAAACGAAAGAACATGAAACGTCAATACATTCAGTACTTATTGTTTTTTTCAACAATTTGGACACTGCTAATCTTTTCAACACGACATAACCAGAATCAAACTGTCCCACGTTTATACGGTTTAAAATGATCTCACTTACTGCACACACACAATCCTTCACACTAGCACACACCCTCACACAATCTGCCAGGAGATAGCATGGAATTATAATAAAGTAAGCCAAAGGATCTGCTACAACAGAAATAAAAAATACCTTTAACCAGAGAAATAATAACACTACAATTACATACAAAATATACAACACAATAACATGAATAGGAAACAGTAAAAATATCCGGTGGGAACGATTCGTCAACATTCATAAACAAGGGAACGGTAAATACGGAAAACGTTTTTTACTGTAATTTTTAAAAAATTTTGTGGACAGCTTTTGAATTTTAAACTATATAGGAATAGGTTACAACGAGTTACTATATTTAAAGACTTCTATTATAGTATAACAAATGATATCTGATATCTGATATCTTATATCTTATAACTTATATCTTATATTTTATATCTAATAAGTTATATCGTATAATTATTGGACGGCCCATAACTCAATACTTTTAAAATCAGTAACAAATTATTATATAATATACTAAAATGGATAAATACTAAAAAGAAGGAAAATACCTAAAATACGAGATAATTTATATTTGTTCGAAATATTTCAAAATATTTTTTGCTAGTGAAAAGTGTTGAATTATTTAGATGCGCTCTGTTACAATGTTACAACTAACAGCCATCCGACTGGATAATAACATCTCTGGTATGTATTCGATTAACCAGTCTTTCATAGGTTTTGGGATTTGTCCTGTTTCAGTGTATGTATTGTAAGACAATGTGGTTGATATTTCAAACAAATATAAAAAACTAACAGACTAGATTCTATAATCATGAAGTAAAGCTATCGAAGTAACTAGCACTAAATATAATAATAATAAATAATAATAATTCGAAATGGCACTGGAATTATAGAAGGGCCAATTAAAGGGAATGGCTACACGTAAAAAAGGGAATTAAAAATATTGGAATATTATAAGAAAAAATCGCTTGCATAATGACTCGATGAAATAACGAATTGCTATTGGAAGAATCGATTTTACATACATGTGCAGTCTTATAAACAAACAGTTTTAAATATTTCCTTCCGTTTTTTTCACTCATTCACGATTTACGTATAATATTTAATTTTTTATATAACGAAACGAAATCGTGAATGGTATTTCAATCAGATCGCATCTTAACCTTAACACACAACATCGTGGTTTAATCAGTTAGTTGTTCGATGGTTGATTTTGTTTATTTTACACCAAACAAATTGGTTTTGATCGTGATAGAAGAATACCCAAACTAGACACTTGATGTAACTGAAATAATTATGGTATTCAAACCCAGTAGTTTTTCACCCTCAACTATGTTTATATAAAAGCAAGGAATGGAATGATTTAGATGTGGTTCGACTAAGACGCTAAAATTGTACTATTAGAAAAAAAAACATCTTCGCTGCAATTTCCAGTCACCGTGTGACTCAATGCAATCACTTGATGGGCTAGAAATTGGATTTCCAAATAATGAATACTGAATTATATCATCACTTGCATAAATAAAAATTCTCACACTTCATTCACAATTTTTCATTTTCTCTTAAAAAAATCATACATGACCTTGACCTTCAAAGTCAAATGACCTTGAAATCTAATTTCTAAAACTCATGATATGATGACAAATTGATAAACAACTACAGTACATAGAGACATCGTTTTGTTCACTAAATTTGTTCGAATGACTCTGGGTCAATTAACGTTCTTATTTGACCCTGAACCTTGACCTTGGATTGACATTGAAAAAATGTTTTCCGATTTTTTAAAAAAAATGTTGTTGATACTTGCATAGCGAAGTTTCACCTTTGATGAAACGACCTTGACCTTTCATAGCATAAGATTAAAATTCCTTCAAGATGTCAGTTTCGAATATGATGAGTGAAAACCAATCCTCGACTTGTCACTATACAGTACATACTGTAGTTTATTTCCATTTATATCCCACTCTCACATATTTCAAATCTCCTTGACCTGTAGGATGACCTTTGCCTTCCGGATGACCATGACCTTTTCAGATATTGATGACTGACACTTGATAATTGAATGATGAAGATGATGCTGACTTGACACTGATATATTTGCGTACATAAGTAGGTCAATAAATAATAAGTAGGTCAAGACAATGGGGTCACAAAAGTCTATAAATAGAAGTTATCCACGTCATAATTTTCAGACACCGAGCACCACGTTCCAAGTTTCTTGGACACAAAATGTTGATACAGAACGTCCTGGTTTCGGCGGTATTCGGAAGCTTTGTCTTTTATTTGTAAATAAGATTTGCCGAGGAGATCGCGACGTCCAAACTTTTGACACAGTTCGTGGAATAAGGTGAAGAAATGTTTTTTGCTGATGGCGGAATACGGCATGTCAGTAGGTCTGAAATAGAGAATAATAAAATAAAAATTATACAACAACGTAATGAAACGAGGCTCGGCGTCAATAGTCACATTTAGGGATTGCAAGATACAAGAATATAACATCATGAAATTAGGCTTGTCTACAATTTGATTGATTAGTGACTAACTAATCTACGAGTAGTACGAGCCTTTAGGGTTGCTATCCCATTGTTATAATAAAAAGGGTCATTCAATACACACTTTGATTGGTTAAAAATAACGTCATCAGAACAGGACCCCGGTAAAAAACCTGTTAGATTACAATGAAGACGAAAAATATTTAAAAAAAACAAAGAAAGAAATTGTACGATAATTTCGATAAGGTTTGTCTCAACGAGAACATTTTTAATGATTCGGACAACCAAGTCATTGGTACACCTACCCGGAGATCTTGATACCGAAGATTCCATCAATAACTTCCACACCGTCGTCCCCTAAGGTCCATACCACACTGTACTGGCGAGATTTATTTAAGGCATAATTGTCGAGATCGTGATCTTCTGGATAATAGAGACTAGGTTCATTCACCACGTAAGGATTGTAGATCTTTTCTTCCAGCGTTCCAGTTTGTAAACGACCAAATAAAGCTCGTGGGACATGTTCTTTTTGATCGCCCGAATAACTACCTACAAGTGTAAAGGGAATATTAATCATTTTATACGCATATCGTTATTAATTTGGTGTCCAAAAAGTCTCGCTGCAACATAGTTTTCTGGTTATATTTCATAAATTGAGATGGCACCAAAGTGTTTCCTTTGTTTTTTTTTTTAAATGAAATTCTGCATTTTCAGGAGAAGTTTGGTCTCTATTCTAGACACTAGACCACGTATTGTCGAAATGATCGTAGCGCTAAGACATCCTAGAAACAATGTTAGAAGATAAGATCCTAGGATATAGAGATTTGGAGAATACATGGCCAGAACTATGTTATTAAATACAAATGATTTCCCTTGAATATTTGGGTTGTCTGGCAGTGGGGATACTTACCTATAACAACTTTAGAGAGATATATAGGTTCAATAAGATGAGATAATAGCGCCCCCTGTACACCAACAACATTCCATCTACAGATCTTATCACTACACGTCATTACTCGCAGTCTCTCTTCACCGTTATGTCCCGCGGGTAGGATAGAATCTGTAGGTATAGCTCCCTCACCTGTAATATATTATAAAATTATGTACTTGAAAGATTAATTTGTGCTATACGTGTCATCTATTAGAATCGAAGTAATTGCCCATTTCTCATACAATTCAATAAAAACCTACCGTGGACGAGTTGACTATTATGACTTTCAGACCGTGAGCAGTGTCATGGTTTTGGTAATATGTAAGTATGAATCTTACAGTATGTTTTTTTTTTAATTATGGAATTTTTAATTCTGAGAAAGTGCCACGGAGAGCTGAAATCAAGTGGCTAATGTTTTGACACTTTATCTCTTTGGAATTCTGGTTAACAACAGTTATATCATATTATCTTAATGATAAACCAATTAACGTAGTCTAGAGTTAAGACCCTTCTGCTGTAATACAATGGTTCGTGAATATACCTTCTCAGATTTGGATGGAAAATTCATATTTTAATGCTTATATTATCAGCATCACTTTACAGTTTTAGAGTGAATGCATGAATGCTTCATTTTCGCGATTTTCACAAGGCCTTTGATCTCGACTACAATGATGGTGAATTCAGACAGCAATAGAAACTTACCATCAGCTACCAATGTTCTTAATACTCCTTGTTTTCTTAAAGCTTTACTACGAACATCTTTACTCCTGGAGATTAATAAACACATTACAGTAAAATAATATCCGCTAATTACTGGGGTATCGGTATTCATCAAAGTTAACAAAATCCAGATGGTTTGTCCAAAAAATCTTAATAGTACATTAATTTTATCGATGCTTTAAAGAGAGGTAATTGAATTGTACTCGGCACATTTTTTTTGGCCCGACAGTCACATAAGCCGCGTTTACAATTTGGCTCGGTTGAAGTGAACTGTACTCGGTCCCGGCTCAGCATGGATAATTTTTGGCAGCGTAAACACACTCACTTTAGAATGCCACGAGGATTGTAAAGTCTGCACAATTTTTCCAAATGTTATGATGGTACATGTATTTCCATTTGTTTCGAAAACAAAATGTACCTACCCTATTGTAGGGAAAGCCGAAGCATCCCCACACGGTGGTCGGCTGATATAAAGATGAAATTTAACACTGTCTAATAGCTGTAACCGCCCGGATGTACCCAGTGTAAATATAGCATCCGTCTCACAGTCAATAAAACGGTTCAATTCGTTGTACAAAAATCTAGAATATAGGACAAATACGATTATACACGTGCATTCGTGCACTCATTAACTAACATAGCATCTGTGAAGTTTTTATAACGGCATCCAACACAAAAAGGGCCAATCTTTCGCTATTTGAACGGTATCGATTCTGGTTTGTTATGAGTTCCGTCTCTTCGTTTGAGACTTGTAAATGAAATGAAATGAATGGAATTTTACGTCCTAATTTCTTGCTTTGAGACTTGAAGACATTTTGAAACATGTCCATAAAGCCAGAACAGAAGGTATCTCTTCAGACGACTTTGAAAACCTAAAAACCAAGGTCGTAGCGTAACAGAGGCAACGACGACTAATGTTTAGAAGTATCACAGTTTCAATTATATATCTTACATCCTCCAGAGTCACCTTCACATTTCGACTTAGATTGCGCTACCATTGGATTGCGCTGCAGTTAGATTGCGCTGCAGTTAGATTGTGCTGCAGTTAGATTGCGCTGCAGTTAGATTGTGCTGCAGTTAGATTGTGCTGCAGTTAGATTGCGCTGCAGTTAGATTGCGCTGCACAGATTGCGCTGCAGTTAGATCGCGCTTCATTGTGCTGCAATTATATTGTGCTACGGCCTTGCAAACGATTAAGCGTGGCAAGTAACATATTTGTTGTTGTATAAAGAATAAGAAATGTACCTGATAAAAGATCGTCTAGCGACTATTTCAGCATGAGCTTGTAAAATACATGTTCCATCAGTTTTTAAATTCTGATATAAGACACTTCGGTTACCTGTAAAAAATATTATAAAATATAACATCCATATAAAATAATTCAACAAAAATTACAAATTCTAGTCCAGGTCATCCAGCGCCATCGAGTCATCTTTTTATTTTCCACCAAAACCCAACTCTATTCTTGAAACATGTAAAGTTGTAAATTCACAAACTCAATCAATCAATAACATTTGATTCAGTGAGGTCATCGCTAGAAAGAAATGCGTTTCGGTTTCACAGTATGTAATTTTTGCATCGGCATTGACATCGACATTAATTATAATAATACTTGATCCAGTGAGGTCATCGCTAGAAAGAAATGCGTTTCGGTTTCACAGTATGTAATTTTTGCATCGGCATTGACATCGACATTAATTATAATAATACTTGATCCAGTGAGGTCATCGCTAGAAAGAAATGCGTTTCGGTTTCACAGTATGTAATTTTTGCATCGGCATTGACATCGACATTAATTATAATAATACTTGATCCAGTGAGGTCATCGCTAGAAAGAAATGGTTTTCACTGAATGTTACTTTAAAATTTGCACCAACGAACAATATTAAGAGCATGAATCACTTGCACCTACAGGCTTTTAAACTTTGTCTATTGAATTGTTTAGCATTTGTTGTTCAAAGTAAGATATCACTGGCGAAGGTACAGTATTATGCATCAATAAACGGAAACATTATTCATAGACAATGTCGAGTTCTTGTAAAAAGTACGCTCAATCGTTTGAAATACAAAAATAATTCTTTTAAAAAGCATTAATATCTCTTCTTCAATCTTTATACTCTGAAAGACTAACTGGTGACTTGTTTTAAGGTAGAATGGTGTGGACAGCTTAATCACTACCAGATTCGAACCTGTAGCGCCTGATTTCTCATTACTCAATAGCCAAACTTCCTATTGAGCCTCGATATGGTGCTTGTGTTAGTCGCTTGCAAGATTCAGTACAACTCATGCAAATTATTTCACTGTCAAAAAGCAATTAGTGTTCAAGTCAAAATTAGCTTTATCTCTATTTTATTTTCTACACCTTGAAGGTATGATGGTGAAAATTAGTATTGAAAGGTGCAACAAAATCAATTAACAATAGAAATTTCATGAACGATGCAAATTATTCAAAAGTGAATCGATTAAAATTAACATGAACAAAACTAGACTCGATCACTAAGTCCTCTCCGATAGCCATTTTTAACTCGTTAAATAGAGTGGATAGTGGAAAGAAGATAGTGGTCGAGTACAAAACTCAGAATTAAAACAGTTGCAAATTCGAAACGAAAATAAATTATACCTTTCAGGTTCTGTGAAAACAAAGAATAAAGGAGAATAAAAAAACGATATATATGTGATTACAATATAGAAGGAACATCCAATATGACAGAAAAGGTAAAAACAAGGATATCTGGTGAATAGTTGAATGTGCTTGGAAAAAGATGTAGGCCAGTGAACAACATAGTACTATAGACTTTAGATCCGATACATGACGGAATGGAATGGAATGGACATAGATGAGCTTTTACACAGAAAAATGAAAGAAGACAGAGGTTAAAGGGATTGTAGAGAGTTTTTTTTCTAAAATTTCTAGGTGTATTGGTGAACCAAAATGGACAATTGGATGATATCAGTGTCCCTTCTCTACAATTCCTTTAAGATCTGATATCAAAATGATCCTTAAATATGATTTCAACCAGTAAAAACGCGGCTTACGCCTGGAATAATAACCACGCACCTGTTCCTAATGCTACCACAGTAATCTGACCACAACGTTCCATTAAAAAACTAGCGACCACCTTCTCCTTACAGTAATAAATCATCTGAGTTTCCTCCGCCAGTTCAAAAACACCTTTAGCCATCGCCTTGATCTTCTGGGCCGGAGAAAGAGGTTCGTCATTAGCATTCTCGTCTTCGTTGTTTTCAATTCGATCAGCCTGGAAAGTAAATAGTAGGGAGTGTTACGTTCTATACTTTTTGAAAATTGTCAAGTTAAATGAAATTCGCCATAGTATCTACATGTAAGGAGCTATCGATCTAGATCCAGCTGGCCACTCTCCTGACACCCTAGTCCAACACCCCCTGGGTGTGAAAACATCCCAGGGAAGTCATACCAACTTGTTGGACCAAATTCATATTCGCTAAAAGATAAAATGTTAGGAACTGAAATCGCCCATTGGATCTCGCGATGTTGAACAATTTAGTAAGGTTTTGAGAAGTCAAACAATCTGGTTGGAATAATGAAGACTTAACATAGAATGATAAAATCTTACCACTAGTTCATTAGCACCAGATAGATTTCTACTGGCCACTTTATACAATCTATCTAACGCTAACTCGGCAGCTATCTTTTTGGCATTTTTCTTGGAAGTCCCGTGACCCTCGGCGAATCTCTTTCCGTTAACAAGGGCAGCCGTGTGGAATCTGAAATCATTAAAGATAGATGGATTGTTGGTTCCAGCAGATGTAATGCTGATATTGTAAACTATTTAGGATATGAAACGAGAATTATACCAAATTAATAACGTCATATAATGCTATAATCTACATGCTGAATTATATAAACTAGTGTCCAAAAGAAACGATACCACCTGTTTGCAACGACATAAAAGAAAAACTAAACAATGCAGAAGTTTAGGATTGGTGTTATGCTTTTGAGAAATCCTTTCACAACATCTGTACAAAAATTTCATTTCAATAAAATCTGTACAACCAATATGACAAGCCTTTAAAGATGGGTGGGGTCGAAAAAAGAATATTTCGTTAGAGCACTGATCACAGAAACAACGGGAAATGTCACACCACACGTCACAAAGTCAAGTCAGTAGCGGGTATGTCCACCGTGAGCATCAATACATACCAGAACACGC